AGCGGGACAAAAGTTTAAGGGATCTTGAAAATAAAGAGGTCTTTTTCTTTCAGTCCGGGGATAAAACTCGGGGAGCAGTATAGCCAGTGTGGAAGAATGCAGGCAATCACAAATTTAATAATAAGATTATGCGGTACGGCCAGTTTCCTGAGCCTGTAAGCATAGAAGGACAGTTTTCGAACTTTAGTGAAAACGTTGATGACATGAGCAGACCAGGACAGGTTATGGGTAAGGGTGACACCAAGGTATTTAATAGATGCAAATTTGGGAATACTTTGATTGTTAATTCTAAGATCAGAAAAATAACGGGGACCGGTTTTAAGACTAAATGGAACTTCGATGCACTTACTGACGTTAAGTTTAAGTGATTGCGTCACAAACCAATTGTGAAGTTCATTAAGACTGTCCGTGATGAATATCACAATGCTATCACCCCGTGCCTATAAGCGAGGTCCCTGGTTCGTGAATCGGCACATGCCTGTAAACGGCGTGGTTTTTCATCCATTCACATTCCGTGTACTAAAGTCTATCGGAACACGTATGTAGTCAGTTTTAACTCAGTCCTTAGAACTCATAGTGATGAACCAAAAACAGACTTTCATGCTATATTTCATTTCGTAGCTAGCAAGTAACATAATTGTTGGATCAATTCCTAATCAAACTTGCGTTTGCGTCCGTGGGGAATTAGCGCTGGATTGTGCTTCCACGAGTCACCTGTGGGCTATATTATTGTCCCTGAGGACCTATTACAACTCAGCTGGAACAAACTCTCTGCTCTTGGGTTACCCAGTGATGTAAAGTAAAAGGTCTGAGGATTTGATGCCACATAGGATGTCTTCATTTGCATTTCCCGTTGTCGGATGAGTCCACCTGTGCGTGCATCGCTAATCCGCTCTGATCTGTCTGAATTCTGAGGGCATCCCATTCATACATAGTAGTTCACTTATCCCCAATTGCAACCTTTACTGGGTAGAAGCATTTGTTTCAGTGCCTCGCTCTCTTTCTCCTTCTCTCCGTTCACATTCATCTAGATTTTGAAAGATGTGAAATTCCCGCTCGAGTTGGACTTGTTCACATTCTGCTCAGAAGCGTTGCAAAAGCAATTGTTCCCAATGCGTGAGAAATTCCGTCTCGAAGAAGATCGAGCTGTGCATGAACTGACTAAGAAAGACACGGGAACAAAAAGTGAGCAACCTAATTGATGTTTGGTTATTATTTTACTATTTGAACATAATCGAATTCGATACTCGAAGCAATCAAACAATTGTTCAACGGGTCGGTTTTCCGCACATCTCTGCCACCTTGTTGAACACATTGTTGTACTGTGTGTTCATCCGCGTAATTGGATTCATTGCCCACTGTTCATTTTCTCTAAACACTTCATAACTGGTATGTTCAAAACAATGACCTGGCTGTTGTAGAAACCGATTGACTCCCCCCCCCCCCCCTAGTTGATTGTATCACAGGATACGCGATATCAGGGAATCAATGAATCCACTTAATCACAGTCGAACGATGATTGGAGCTGTAGAATCAACTCACACATCTGTGTGGCATCACGCTGAACCGATCAAGAGCAACGAGGACCACGGTTGATAGGTCGCTGCGTGATTTCCCAGCTTCTTAAAGTACGATATTCTGTTCGTTTTGTCCAGCGTCATACGAAGCCCGCACACACTCCATGCCCCCCCCTTATCTGTTTCTTCAAAGAAAACAACTCTGCCTGCAAAAAAGGAAGTCTTGACTATCACCTCTTCGACTGTGATTTGCCTAAGCGTTTCCGAGCCCACAGCACTGTCACTGAGAGAGAGGCAAGAGGAAGAACTGGGATGCTGGAATGCGTTGTGTATGCAAATGGGGATTACCGCCGAACCTGTGGATCTCACACGCCTTCGGCGACAGCCGAATTCACCTCACGCCGGAGAACCCAAACACATCAAAATGCGAGCAAAACGACTGTAAAGAGTAACAGTTCATTCAAGATTTGATCGGGTGTCCTCAGGTATCGACTACAACAACTAGCCATCTCTACTGTTCTCCTAACTATCTCGGAGACGGCCCGAGAAAATAACTCTACGAACACCAGAAACGGCTACGACTTACTTGCAATCGTGGTATGATAAAAAAGATCAAAGGACTGTCGGAACTGCGGGTGAGACCGATGCACAACTCAGGACCAAAAAGTGTTACTCAAGCAGAAAATATCTTTCCTACAACTGGCAGACCAGAGCCAACAAACTCCTAAAAAATTTCCTTTACCCGACCACGGTATGGTCGAATCAACTAATCCATTGCACCCTTTTGCTCCGCGACCAATTGCATTGTTTCTACACTAATTCCCAAGGTTTCCTCAGCGAATTTTCGGAGGTGAAACTGCATTGCCAAACTGGTGAATGAGACTTGGCTGACAACCGAAATTACGGACTCAGAATTGCACCTCACCGGCATGACTCTGCTCTTACGCGATCGATCTACGAGGGGTGGTGGTGTGTTACTCTACTTTAGCAGCAAACTACAATGCGAGGTAATTGATTATCCTGATGCGGCTTCTGGCTCACTGCGGTGCAGATTGCGATTGGCTCAACGCGATATCGGCTTGATCAGTGTGG